GTGAATTGTTCACGCTGGGGTGCATATCAAACATGTTTGGGCGGCTGGCGAATTTATCCAATTTGTGTATGTAATTCGTACAAGCTTGTAGTTGGAGCTTCTTGCAGAGAAATCGGTCAACATTTTAAGCAGCAGATAATTTCTTCGGAGGCAATCGAAAAGGAAGGAAGAATTAAGTGGTATGACACTGGTATGATAACAAGAAAAACAAAAGTAGCTAATTAAATATAAAGACTGGTACTTTTCTCTTAAAATGTTGTAATCGACTGATTGGACATCAAATCTGTTAATATAAGTGCTCAAATGGTGATATTCATCTTTTAAGTTCAAAATAAAAGCCATTTCTTGAACTTTTCTCTCCTGCGTTTCGGGAGCTATGCAATTTAGTAGTCAAGTTTCCTCGAGGAAAAGAAGTACGTGGAGTAGAATTCTCTACCAGGCCTTGCTGGTGTTTGCACCAGCCTCTGCTTTCGTGGTGTGGTGGTGATATAAAAAATGGGGATGCGTGAAAATGCATGGATGATTCAAATGCATGATTGAAATGTAGGTGAGGTAGGACATAGCCATAGGTGTCCAGGTTCTACGGAACCTCGTTTATGCTTGGTGGTTTCAAGTGATCCCGGCTGTGGATGACATCTGAAAACCTCAGAAAGGGAAATAGGGGTTTGGCATGTGCGATCAGACAATGTCAGGCAGGAGTGGAAAATTCACATGAAATATGGGGAAAAGGAGTGAAGAATTCCTCCTCATAGGGTGTTGCTTCACACCCAACGTCGGCAATTCTGGGACACTTTCAGATCAGATTCAGATTAGTGCTGCCATCTATACCAACGGATCCGTACGGTCACTGGTGTTGGAGTCCGCCAGATGTCGCTCGGCGCGCCCCGCTCTGCCATCAAAGTCCGGGGCAGCGGTTTATCATGCAGCCAAGGGCAGTTGAGGCGGCTCACGCGAGGAGTTTTTGCCGGCCAGTGAGAATCCATGACGTTATAATTTAATGACTGCTTCCACCTTCGTGTTTACGTCATTGGTGTCTGCACTTTCACTTGATGTCCTCAGGCAGAGACACAGAGAACTCAGGCTGCCTGAGTTCTGCGTGTGGAAGGAATGCATATTGCAACGTTTAGGTAGTATTGGGCAACATACGGCGAAGAAATCTACTGTTAGCCGAGACAAAACTTAGCTCTACGTTTCAGGAGATGCCAAATTAGGCTTTTGAGTGTAGATGAGATCATCTGCGTGAAAACAGTCCTGGAACCGCGTAAAGACATCGGAGGCCCCGTTATTTGCATGGGTTTCGGAACGGATGTAGCTAGCATCTTCTTTATTTGCATCATTATAAAATATCTGTTCAACAACTTTTTCAGCACAGAGCCGGATGCGTTATGAATTTGTTCAGTTACGTTGAGAAAGTGGCAATTTTCGTATGTAAGGGCAATAACTGTAATCTATACCATAAAACATGTATGCCAGCAACGACAAATGCGAAATGTTTATCTAACTGTTGCCTTAACTACCAGTGCATATCATGAAAATTGCAGTGACAAACCCCTGAGTGAAGAGCACACAAAGCTGTTCAGATTCATGTTCATGTTCTGGGCCACTGAGGCCCAAGATATGAACGAGAGTCTCATTCACAACGCACCCGTGATCCCATCGGGCCAGTCCTCAGCATACATTTTCAGAACCGAGGTCCTTATTACACTTTCCGCTCGAGGCCGAAGGTTGAGGATGGAAAGTTCCAGAATTCAACATTATGCATTCAAAGATGTTACCTGAGCAAGATACTTGTATGACATCACTAGACACTGGTCAAACCATGTTTTAAAGCGGACATGAGTTATATTGACAGTACTGGACGTTTCACGCTGTGTCTGTGGTCTCTCATAGATCACATAGATTTATGATCCTCACATGGTCTTATAGATCCTCTTAGATCAGTCTTCATGTATTGAAAGTTGATAATTCACCTTAAGAGCTGTGATCTCATCATGCCGAAGAACCAGGAAAGGAATGCGATTCTCACTTTTATCAAGTTCAGCAACGACTGACGTCCTGAAAAAAAATTATCCCAGCCTAAGTGTGGTAGGACTTGTACCTGCCACTCTCCCAATTCTGTGACGTCATGACCACGCGAAGTTCCGCTTCGTAGCTAAGTATCACAAGATATAAAATCAGTTGCACTTTGTGGTCAGGGGAAAGAGGAGATCGTTGACTACCGTGCGTTTCTAAAGAATGGTGTCATCACGTGCAAGTCAGCTGGTGATACGGCAGCCATTGCCGGGGCTGCCCGACCTATCCTGGTCGTATCGGAGAGTATGACCCAGCAGGACACTGTCGTCAGCCTGCCCCGACCTATCCTGGCCGTATCGGAGAGTATGACCCAGTAGGACACTGTCGTTAGCCTGCCCTGCGGCGCCGAGCGGCGCCTTCTGCGCCAACGGTACTTGCCTATGCATCATTCAGTACTTACGTCATCCTTTCATCTCAGTGTTTGTTTATTGCTCCTCCTTTCCGTCAATTCTTCCATCAAGTCTCTCAACTTTCAGCCAACTCTTCCGTCAAGTCTTTCGCCTTTCCGTCCATTCTTCCGTCAAGTCTTTCGCCTTTCCGTCCATTCTTCCGTCAAGTCTTTCGCCTTTCCGTTAATTCTTCCGTCAAGTCTTTCACGTTTCCGTCAATGCTTAGAGAATAAGATCTCTCAGGTTGTTTGGTGAGTTTGGACACCCCAGTAAACAGATGCACGTGTTTGTATGTCCTGTTCGCGGCGAAGTAGAATTACTCGGAACGGTTCCAAATACTATCATATTTTGGATGATTGTGGCATTATTACGGCACAAAGGTAGAATTTGCTGTACCTTTGGTTTAAAGATATTTCGTATTGGTTTTCCATATGTTGCTTGGTGTGCCAGGCCGTTGACCGAAGTGAACTAAATGCATCACATTAGAGGACTTCAAGTAATCGCGTGGCTTAATGCTAACAAGCATGCAAGAAGTGAAAGTTCAAGAAGTTAGAAAAGTTGCTGCCACTCAATAGCATACGGGAAAGGGAGCTTGTGACTTGGAAACCCCACAAACCTTGGAATTGAGTCAGATGCTGATTCTGTAGAGCATTGTCCCATTACTTGGAAGCTCTAAAGTTGTGTTTCACTTCATAACGTACCTTGTTGGGCATTGTCTCAGGAGGTATCCACTGCAACCTGCTCGGCCTGAGCAGTAGAGGCATTCATTACACACGCGCATGATTTGACTGCTAAGGATTCAGTAATGCACCCAGCGAATCTTCAAATGCTGGTATGTAGGAAGCGCTCGGCTGTCGAAAGTTGTCCGTCGAACCCCCCTGGCCGGGGGGGGGGGGGTACACCAGTGACCTCCAGACAGTCTCCCACGGCCCCGAACCCGCGTCGGAAGTGAGCCGTTTCTGTGCAGCGGGGGTGTCCTCGCGGCCAAGGGAGGTCAGAATCACTGAATGGCGATGGGGAGGGGTATGACGTCACGGACGGCCGGGAACATGGAAAATCCCGACCAAAAAGGCCTCGGAGGATCCAATGAAGGCCCGGTGTGGCAGGCCAGGTGCGGGCTCTCGCACCTGGAGGGAAGGCGAAAGAGCACGGAAGCCTTACACTGAGTGGTGCGGCGTTTGGTGCCGGACCGGGTTGGAACACGTGTTCTGTGAGGCTGTGCTCTGTTCCCGCGCCAAACGCCAACTGGGCCTTTGGCGGCATTCCATTTTTATAAGCCTGTCACGCAGCCGCACCGCATTTTGAGCTGCGCAGTGTGTAACAAGTATAGGATTATCCACAATGAGGGTATGACGATGATGCTTGGAGTGAGAGTCTGTCATAGTTTCGTCTTAACATGTGCTCCGCCATAGATAGCATCTCTTATTCCAGCACCTTGGGAAACAATAGGTGATAAGTTAGGAAGTGTTCCGTTCAATCACATAACGCATTGCAGGAACGGTATATTCGTATGACGTCACGTTTTAGGGTCACATTCACATTTCATTTCACATTTCGCATTTCACACGTCACATTTCAACGCACTTATGGACGCCGTTGACAGAACCGTGCCACTTATTGTACCTTAGGGAGTGGCGTTAGCTCTGAACAGTCTGATCGGCCTATTTATGGACCTCACGCGGTTGCAAGAGCACGAGACAAGCGGTGCCGAGAATCTTCCAACATTCCTCCTTCCAAAACTACCAAACGAACCGCACTAAAACAGAGGTAAAAGCGAGGACGTATGAAAAGGCGGCCTTGCACCACAAAGATCGTCGCATTTGAGCCAGGTGCCTTGGCCGCGCTCGTCGACAACTATGATTTGTCGACTGAACAAGACGTAGCAAACAAATTCACGTACCGCGCAGAACATCTGTAGTCATCAAAACATGTCCATCGGAGCAGTCAAATGTGGCGATTGAATGGGTTCATGAATCTTGGCAAATCACGCATTCCATCAACACTTATTCTTTGCGTCCGTGCATCGTTGCACTGCACGTGTAGCACTTTATTGAACAGGCAGGCTTCTCGTCCAGCCTGCCAGAATGATTCATCATGCGTTAGCAAATCTTAGAACGTGGAAGAAGTATTACCAAAATTGCGCAGCTCTAGGGAACTAGCGCGCAGCGTACCGCGTACTTTTACTTGTACATCGTGACAAAACCATACACATAAACATATATGCGCTACGTGTCTAACTTCATCGTGCATGGCCATTTCACATCGGCGATTACTTGTAGGCTTCGCGAGCTATGGCGAGAAACGTGAGGAATGTAAGCAAATTCGTAATACTGGATAACATCGACCAAACCTTGCACAGACATCGCAAAGACCCGACGGCTGGAATAAGCCATCTTCACTATTCTGACACGAAACAACGTACCTTACGCTATTGCTGTCTATTAACCATCGCTGGAACAAGACCGCAGCAACACAGTTTTCTCTGGCATGCTGGCCGACCAGCCAACCTTATCGTGTGCCACAACCATCCAGCCCGAACAGTCGGACCACCCGGCACGTCGCTACAGGCCCCGGCGCGCGCTCGTAGGCCTCACCAGTAGCCAACCATCAAGGCGGGCGGCGAGCAACCTTGGGCGCCAGACGGAAGTGCCCTGAGGTCACAGTCACGCTCCACTACCCTTGGATAGAGCCGAACACCTGGCGAAATACGCCACGCTTCACCTCCGGCGTGCAGAGGTCCTCAAACCAGGCGCCCTTGCAGCCCTGCCGCTCGAAGCACGCTATCCGACTGCCCTGGAATTTGAGAGCCATTGTGAACTGATGCGTTTTGGGCAGACGGCGGTTATGTACGAAAGACAGTGCACTGGGTGAGTCGATCTTCGTGAATTGGGTTACGCAGATTACGGTGATTCGCTCACGCCGTCCAAATAATTTATCGACAATGTTAGCGGCATTTGCTTCGCAAAATCAAACTGATGGTCAGCTTCAACTCTATGGTAGCTACGGTAATCCTGCGTCTTATCGATCTAGAAATAAAGTTACTCCAGATCTTTATCCCTATCGTCAATGTGTTTCCGTTCCTTTCCACTAGCTGACCGTAGTTTGCCACATGCACTTCTCGCAGCGAGAAACATAGAACAAAATGAACCGTGGCCGTGACAAAAACTCGACTACACCTGTATGTAGAACATTGCGCAAGACGTAGGCACCTAGACGGCTTGCAGCAAATACGCACGCATTCCTGTGCAAGTCTTCGTGCCCTAAATGACTATCGCGTCTGTAATCCAGCCAACCGACAGCAGCAATGAATGACAATATCACGCAATAAGGTCGACAATCGTCAAGGTTAGACCCAACAAACCAGTTTTCGTCGGTCCCCGAACTATGCCAGAGCATCTACTCGCGCGGAGTGCTTGACGGTTTGAGGATTCTTGTCAGGAATTCAGTTTAAGAGTCAGTAGCAAGACCAGGCTACGAAGCAGGGCTCTGAACGGAAAAAGTATGACTCGTCAACTGTACCGGCAAGTAAAGCATGCTGCGGGATTTGGATACAATCAGTATATTATCAGCAGGATAGAGAGAGAGAGAGAGGGGTGGGGGGGGGGGGGAGCGTTCTGCGGGATTAAAAATACCTCACGTGCCGAACACAGGTTAGCGTCGCCAGCATGTAACTACCGGTCATCTGATGAGTCTCACGCAATGTCCTACACCCTCGCCTGTTTGACTGCTGGGATCTGACACGAGCCTCCGACCCGCCCCCCCCCCCCCATCCCCCCCAGCGCAGCGGTGTGACACTGACACCGACACATCCGCCAGAGCGTAGCGGTGCGGCACCGCTCGCAACACCGCGTGACAGCGTGACAGCGTGCCTCGGGTGCAGCCAGGATTGTTTTGAGGCAGGAGCTCGGAATTCGGTGGTTTCTCATCACTGCGTGACAGCCTGACAGCGTGCCTCGGGTGCAGCCAGGATTGTTTTGAGGCAGGAGCTCGGAATTCGGTGGATTTTCGTCACGCCGGTGTTTTTAAACGTTCTGTCGAAAGACCTCTGTGATGAAAAACGAAGCCATCCGGGCCTGAGGAGGCCGCCCCTCCGGTTCCTCGCCGCGCTCCTGCGCCGTCCACAACACTGCGCGGGAGCATGACGCCGTCCGAAATACATATGGGACCACGGTACCATCCGAAATACCCCACGTAAGCCTGGTAGCGCTCAGAACCCCCATGCGAGCATGCCACCGTCTGAAATACCCAATGCGCGCATGGCACCATCCGAAATATCATACGGGCGTTTGACGCCGTCTGCAATGCTACACAGGACCATTGCACCGACCGTATTGCCACACGACCCCTAAAAAAATCCGATATCGTGTCCTCTCCTTTTCCCGTCCCTCTCCCTAAATCCCGACGACCCCAGCATTCTGCCGCCCTTACCCTGGCGTCGGAGTTGTTGCAGCAGTTGACGACGGCCCAGGTGCAGGGCGACAGCCGAGTCTGCTGCGCTTCTGGCCGACGCGCCTGCGTATCCTCGAAGATGGTGAAGGAGAGCGACGGCTTGGCCGGTCCGTAGTCGCCGTAGTCGCCGTAGTCGCCGTAATCTGTCGGGTCGCTGTAGTCGAAGTCCGCGGCGGCCAAAGCCGGCCCGGAGGACACGGAGGAGGAGACAGAGCCTGTCCGGGAGGAGACAGAGCCGGACCGGGAGGAGACAGAAGAGGAGACTGAGCCAGACCCAGAGGAGACGGAGGCTGCGGCAGACCCGGAGGCGGAGGAAGAAGCGGATGAGACGGATCCAGAGGCGGAAGACGAGACAGAGGAGGAGCCGAAGGACGAGCTGGAGGAGACGGAGGCTGGAGAGCTGCACGCTGGGCCGGCGCTCACAACCAGCCACACCAGCAGCCGAGAGATGTGCATGTTGACGTGCTGGAACGCAAAGTACCGTAAACACACAGTGGCTCGGACACTAGGCATCGCAAGAGCTTTTGTGAACACTGCTTACGTAACGCGGACATGCTCCGAACGCGCGGTACGGAATGAGCGGGATGCCTTTGAAACGAGCTCTGAAGCACGCGCCTGGATCACAGTGCGCGTGCACTTGGAGTGCGTGCATACAGACAAGTGACATTTGCCACGCCCAAGAGCACACGATAAGCACATTATGATCAAGTCGTAGCGTACCACAAACGTCAAAAAGATGTGTGCATAGCGCCGGGCTGTGTTATGTGCCGGAATTTTGATAGATGTTAGCCGAGGTGTAATCACGTAGTTACCATCGGAGACACGTGTTTCGCGTCCCCTCATAAATTTTTAACATGCATTAATTTGTGCGCAAACCAATTTGAACACACAGCAACTTAAAGGTGAAAAATAGAAATGAGTAATCGGGGAGAATGCGATGCTGTTTTACGTCACACAGAAATATCGCGCGTCCCCGACGGGATAAACTGGGGTTCCGATGAAAAAATTGTAGCTATGCCCCCTGGCTTCCTCTCCCGAAATTTTTGCAAAGGCCATGGGATGTCAGCCTGCTACACTAATTGGTGTACTGAGGTCAGCAGTCGATCTGTAGATTTGTAGAAAGGCTATATCGGCAAATTAATGTTTGTTAAGTCACGAAACCATTTACCGAGCCGTAATGCCAAAAAGACAATCTTAAATTTTATAGGACAAGCAGAAAACTGTAACGCCAAAACAGCAAATTTTCGAAGAGAGCAAGTCCCGAGTAACTAAGATGCAGGCGACATTGCACTAAGTCTTAACAATGTGGAATGAAACGCCATCATGACAAGTATTCCTACAGCATGATAAGCCCCTTTAGGATTTGCACCAACGCCAAAACTTTACAGTATTATTACATGATACAGGAAAGCTCATAGCCGAACGAAAAATGCCAGAACAGTTTGTAAGCATCCCGTGTAACTCAAAACTATTTTTTGGTATGACCAATGTCGCTGAACGCCCACCACCCAAAATCTAAATTCAAATATAAATATAAATATAATCTAAATATAAATTCGGCGCATGATAATTCCAAAATGCCTTTTGGGAGGCAGACTGATCATTCGTCTAGGATGTATATTGTCTGGACCGCGTGGCATCTATTTCACCGCTTCTGATGGACAACGCATAACGCTTAGCCGTACAACCAAAACTAGAACTACAATCACCAATGGGCTTCTCATACTACTTTTCCCAGCGCATCAGTGGGCTCGAAAACCCACGGCTCGAATACCCGCGTGCCGTTGTCTCTAACACTGAGCATTGCTCGTGAGAAGTTCTGCGGCTTCGTCCTGACGTAGCCGCGCCTCGGCCGCCCTAGCGGGAAGCTCCGCGGCTTCTTTCTGACGTAGCCGCGCCACGGCCGCCCTAGCGGGAAGATCCGCGGCTTCATCCTGACGTAGCCGTGCCACGGCCGTCCTAGCGGGAACTCCGCGGCTTCGTTCTGACCCAGCCGCGGCACGGTCGCCTGTTCCGCTGTTCCGCTGTTCCGGCACGGTCGCCTGTTCCGCCTGTTCCGCTGCACGCGCCAGCCTACCTCGGCCAGTGCGCTGGACGCGCCGCTGCGCCGCAGCCTGCTTGATATGCAGTGTTTCATCGCCACGCAGACTGGGAGAGAGGCCCGTGCTTCGCGGAGCCTCCGGTCGCCACTTGCATGGCATTGCGATCAGATCAGAGCTCGCCAGACACGCGGAACGGTGACTGCACTGGACCGTACTGGACCGTGCTAGACCGTGCTGGACGACGGGAACATGCTGGACCACTGGACCACACTGCGACGCCTGAAGACGGCCAACTCTGCGGTGCTCTATGCTCTGCATTAAACAGCTGTGACCACTGAGAACTTGAACACAGACCTGCGCTCATGTGATCTGCTGGGGAGAACACCCGTGAATTTGGCGATTTTTGTTTCAGCGAAACAAAATTTGGCACACTGAATGAAGTGGTGAGCCGCTGTAAAAACGCGATTCGTTGCGTTTCACCTCTGAGCCCTCCAACGACTCCACAAATCTCAGTGCTCTTTCTATGTGCGACGCGTTTACTTCCTTAGCCCAATACGCGCCAAGCACTGTCCTCTAAGTCCAAAGGTCCAAGTAAAATGGGACTCAAATTAACTAGTTCTGAAATCAAACCTCGAAGCATTCAGTTGCCGAGGCGAACAAGCTCTCGCTTGTATGAAGTCATCTCCTGCATACATCTTGACGCAACCTTAATAGTACCGTAACTGCCCCGATTCATCTAAATGCTCTCTGGGCTGGGTAAGCCCATGGGTTCCAACGTGAAATGGATAATAGGCTGGGTTAGGCACAGGATGCTAGTACGGGCATGCGTAAGGTGGTTACGGAATTCCGAATATACACTTAGAGAATTATCCATGATGTTACCGCCTGCCGTACCTGCGTACCGTTCAGCGTACCTGCTCCATTCCCATTGCTGTCATAATAATCATCGCACAAGGCTAGCAGTGAACAGTCCGGAAACATCGCCATATTTGCTAAACTGACTTCCCAAAAAATCAAAATGGGTGGGTAATGGGTGGTACAGCAGGAATGTGTGGTGGGTGCGCCGGGTCGTACGGGCGCAGCGGCGAGCGGGCGGATCGGATCGGGGGACCATATCCGCAAACGCCCCTGGTTCCATCGCAGTCAACTGCTATCAAGGTCACGCCTCAGCACAGAATCAAATCCCGTTCTGACCCTCGCCTCGTCGCAAGCAGCCGATCAAAACAGCGCGCCGCCGCGCCCGGAGGTCGCGACCTATCTGACCTCGCTCTGACCCGGACGCGTCTCACACGCGGCGGGACACGAAGAAAGCGCGTCCCAGACGGGCAGGGGTCGAGACAGGCTTCAAAACAGGGCACTGGGCACCTGACGCTTGCTGTTTGTGCACGCGTCGTAGCGCAGAATGAGAAGACGGGACGCTATGAGTAGACCCTGCAGACTTCGACCTAAATCGTACATAGAAATAAAAAGACGTGATGGTTAGCGAACTAAGTCGTTAACCCCATGATTCTCGCGGAAAGGGAAAGGGCTCGACCGCCTTTGGACACCACAAGGCATTCGTTCTGGGTGGCGGATCCAGCGCGCACGCACCACATGGGTTGGAGGAAAGCCGCCGAGTGTAATGCTCAATTTCCGGTGGGAAGATCGCTGCGTCACGTATGAAATAACAAGGAGGCATAACAACATATGAATGTATATGTTTCCATATATCTATGCAAATATATATATATATATATATATATATATATATATATATATACGTGCGTACGAAAAGTTGCATGACAAGCATGAGCGTACGCTGCTGGCATGTCATGACCAGCACATCCTACCGCGCTCAAACATGGCGTGGGGGCTGGTCCAGCATATGACGCAAATTCAGCACGTTTCTTGACTTGAATCAAAGCTCGACTCCTCATTGCAATTTGGCATCGTTGCCATGTTATTTTCGTGGATACGCCACGCAGCGAGGCGCCGCTGGGGCCGTACATCGGCGCAGACGCAGTGAAATTCAAGGCGATTACCGAGCAAGCATACGAACTTCAAGACGTTCGCAAACCTGGTTTAGTCTCGGTCCAGTTCCTACGCTCAATAGCCCCGATATTTATGCAGTGTCATGCTCCCCGTCTAGCGGTGACGACCGAGGGCTGTGAACAGGCGGCGGAATAACGCTGGTCATCAAACGGACGTTGCGCCGTTTGCAAAAGTGCATGTCCTTATGTCGGTTTCCTCTGTTCGACGCGATCTACAATGTTAGGAAATCTGCTGTGGTCCCATTGCAAACGAAAAAAAATAGTGCCAGAGAATGACGTGTACACAAACGTAATTTATTATTCAGGCAAAAGGAATAGCATCGCGGAACAAGTTAAGTCACTGCCACCCTAACCAGCGGCACGCAGGCACCACGATCTAAACGTTCTGAAATAGCATGCCCAGCACAAACAGGGAAGCCCGTTCATTATGGCCAAGGTGCTGGCCACAGTGGTTGCCCGCACGCCTCATACGTAACGGCCCGTCGTTGTACTTTGTAAACGGCAGCAGCTGGGCTTGCTCCCACCCCTGACTCATCACGATAACCCAGAAGGAGTTTATTGCCGGATGAATTGTCGTTCATAATTTCGCCCGAAGAAATTTGGGTTTGCGGGGATTGTGAGTTGCACCACAAAATGGCCGGGATGGTTTACTTGCTAACTCCAGTTTTTGCTGTCCAGCAAGGCATTATGCGTGAGGCAATACAATGAAGTGCAATGACCTTGCCCTGTCCTGTCCTGTCCCATGACAGTTATCTAGACCTTGCGAGTGCCATCGATGAACGCCATCACCTAAACCTGTTGTTTATTGACGGTCCAGACGCAGCATGTGAAGCGCCAAGTCCATGTCGTGACCCATCCGGCCTTTCTCTTTGACGGACGACTTTCCATGCATTTCCACACCATTAACGCGAGCGAAACTCAAGTGATGACCGCCCCGCTAGTGTCGGTTGAAAGGAACTGGAAGCCAGGAAAGAAACTGGGGTGACCAAGGCAAATTAGGGAGTGCATACACAATGCAAATCGCAAGTTGTTCAGTGCGCCAGCGAGGAACATTACTCACATAGATAAGGCAGTAGTAATGGCCTTATTCCTCGGAGAAAACTCAGGTGACTGGAATATAATGGGGCTGATATATCAGCAACACGCCTTTATCCAAACATCAGAAGAAGTCTTCACCAATAGCAGAATTCTTTTACGATGAAGATGGCGCGAAACACTGATTTTGCAAATTGAGAAGTTCAGAACACCATCCCGACGCAGTGTCGACCGAGCTCCTGCCCCCAAGGAGATCGCCATTCAGGTTTTTTTCCAATGCATCAAAATCTTACACCGTTTAGTGCCACCTGTGGTTACGTTCCTGCTGTGTTGCATTATTGCCGCTTGTCCGGTCTCATCGTGCGACATGTAGCCCATGGACTCAAATGAAATGCATCACGCCGGGCCCGCGGAGCGATCCGTAACAAATGCATGATGATTAGGCGACGGAACTCGAGCGCCGAAGAGCCCCATCTCACCTGTGAGTGTTCAGTCGAAACGTCAGCCGACAGCGACAGACAAACGACAAACGCAGCGCACCACGGAAGTCGCAGGTGACCCGGTGACCCTGATGACGTCAGCAGGGCGGGCGCAGCTCCGGTACACGAGCGAGCCTCCGGTCCAGCGGCGCCCCGTCCGATCTCCGTGCCGCCCCTGCACCTACTACGGTGCGACCGGCGGACAGAGCGGTGAGGAGACGACACAGAAACCTGGCGGCGCAGGGGCGGAGTCAGGGAGGCCGACTGGGGAGGCGGGAGGAGGGAGGGTAGGTGGTTCTGACGGAACCTGTGAGTGATGCGATGCAGTGCAGGGGCGCAGTCAGGGAGGCTGGAGAGGCAGGAAGCTGGAGAGTGGGTGGTACTGACAGAAGCTGTGCGAGTAATGCCATACATACAGAGCAGGGGCGTAGTCAGAAAAGCCGGAGATGCGGGAAGCGAAAGAGCGAGTGGTACTAACGGAAGCTGTGGGAGTCATGCGATACGGCGCAGGGCCGTAGTCAGGAAGACTAGAGACGCATGAAGGGGGAGAGCAAGCGGCACTGGCGGAGCTGTGAGTGATGATATCACGACACCATGACATAATATCATGATGACAATACGTGCAGGGGCGGCGTCAGGTCCATGCTACTGAGAGGCGGCGTGGCTTCAGTGCGTGTCCGTCTGAATAGTTGGGTGAAAATAGAGCTCTTACCCGGCGCAGAGGCGGAGCCAAGGCAAAAATCTTGGATCGCTCCTGTTTGCATGCCGCCATCAAGCACCATGAACCGTGAGTAGCGGAGGGCTGGGACACTGTGCGCCGTCAGGGCTGGGACACAGTGCGCCGTCAGGGCTGGGACACAGTGCGCCGTCAGGGCTGGGACACAGTGCGCCGTCAGGGCTGGGACACAGTGCGCCGTCAGGGCTGGGACACAGTGCGCCGTCCGGGCTGGGACACAGTGCGCCGTCAGGGCTAGGACACAGTGCGCCGTCAGGGCTGGGACACAGTGCGCCGTCAGGGCTGGGACACAGTGCGCCGTCAGGGCTAGGACACAGTGCGCCGTCAGGGCTGGGACACAGTGCGCCGTCCGGGCTGGGACACAGTGCGCCGTCCGGGCTGGGACACAGTGCGCCGTCAGGGCTGGGACACAGTGCGCCGTCAGGGCTGGGACAGATCCCGTGAAATGCAATCAACGTGACCTGAGGAAATACAGCCAGCACAGGCTTTGGTCAAGTCGACTCTCTCGGGAGGTCCGCATGGTTTGGTCAGACAACAATGGCTGCTCGGCAGGGAAAATTGCTTAACAGAATCAAGATCCTCACGGGAGGTGCTTAAATTCAAGCCTGCGCACCGATCCCTCTGGCCCGAAAACTAGAAGCATCATGCGAGTATGCGTACATACTGGCCATACCAAAGAAATCGTGTTGATAGCGGCGTATGCGGTGATAATGACTATGTCGATATTAAACACGGCGTGATCTGCCTTGGCATCACACAGAGGCTGGGTTGGTTTTGGTGCACGGCATGGCTGTTACGTTACCAGACTTACGTCACCCCCACACCATGGTTCAGGCGTATATTTTCCTTTTCAGTTGGAGGGACTTATTCAGCCTTGTTTGGGCGACCACGACAGCTCCGCAGGAAAGGTAGGTTAACTCTATGAAGGGACGTATCCAACTTTGTACAGGCGACCACGACAGCTCCGCAGGAAAGGTGGGCCAATTTTATGTAGGGACTCATCCAGCTTTGTACAGGCGACCACACCATCTCCGCATGAAAGGTGGGTTAATTCTATGAGGGACTTATCCAGCTTCGTACAGGTGACCAAACCAGCTCCGCAGGAAAGGTGGTTTAATTCCATGTAGGGACTTAACCAGCGTTGTACGAACGACCACACCATCTCCGCAGGAAAGGTGCGCCAATTTTATGTAGGGACTCATCCAGCTTTGAACAGGCGACCACACCAGCTCCGCAGGAAAGGTGGGTTAATTCTATGAAGGGACTTACCTAGCTTTGTTTGGGCCACCACGCCAGCTCCGCAGGAAAGGTGGGCTACATCCGTGGAGAAGCCGTAGATCGCATGTAAAAGGGGTTTAGCCGCATTCATTTTGAGTTGGCTCCGCCGCCCAGCTCGTTGTGCAAATAACACTGTCGCCTGGATTTTGTCGATTCCGAAAGCTGTTTTGAACTCCTGATTCTCTACTTCCGCCACTCCATCAAGCCACCACTATTTCGTGACTCATGTGACTGCTCATTTAGCTAGCAATCATGTCCCGTGACACACGTGATTACACGTTGAGCCGCGGTCAGCTCTTCTCACCTACGTGATTCACGGATCAGTGCCGACCGCGAGTTTGCCAGTGCCAAACAGGCGGCGTGCGGCGAACGCCCACTGACGCAGCGTAATGGAGAACCACCCGGCTTTTCCGTAGTCCCACCGGAGCCATTGTGTAAATATCCGAAACGGTGCGGCGAGCTTTAAGTAGTTTCCTGGGCGGGTGCGCCTAAATAGCATGACTTTTGCTCGTGCGTGAGGTCGAATCGATTCAGCGTTTCGAAATCGGTGCGGATGTGGTGCCCCCGTCACGAGCGTGTGTTTTACCACAGCGGCCGATGAACTGATCAGATATGGTGGAAAGCCACCAGGCGGCACCACCTAACGTGGGGCTTCACCGACGACAGGCTGTCAGTCACTGCAGGGGCACCGACCTATCCAGTGGGTCGGTGCCCCTGGAAAAATGCATTGATAATTATATATGTTATATATTAATGTATTAACAGTAATATATCACAAATATAATAATAACAAATATATGGAGGTCAATATAGTCTCATCGCCACGTGATCACGCCCTGAGCGAATAAATTACAAACGGTATGATCTTGCCGTAGCAGGTATTGAAGGATTTGAAGTGAGGCACGATAATGTGGATGACTAGTACCGTCGCGTGACGTTCGCCGTTGGACCTGCGAGCGTTTTCGGTGGAGCGACACTATGTTCATGTTATGGGGCAATTTCAGAATGGAGCACTGGCCAATGGTTAGGTTATGGAACAGTTGAAGGCATTGTGCAGAACGAGGGTACTTGGAATCGTTCCGTAACTGCAAAGAAGTCAAGGTGTGTCTGTGGCAATGTTTACAATTGTTCGGTTCGGAACGCATGCTAAGCAGGCATCTCGCCCGGCGTACCTGGAATCCAGCACCCTGGAAATTCCTGTGTAGTCGAACGGAATGGCGTAGTTTTTACAACACGACACGGCAGTTTACGACACGACACGGCGGTTTCGATCAAGCTCCTCTCCAGTCATGGCCATCCGCTTCCTGGCGCAGCGTCACCACGCGCGGCAAACACATTGTGCGTTCTGAGGCGAACACTGCAGTTGGTTGGTGAGCCAGGAGACTTCAGTCATGTTACAGCAGCGTCGCACATTACCGGAGTCGTCGTGGCGGCGCCGTGATCCGCAGCTCCTCACACACGCCCTGAGCGCTGCAGCATGTACGGTAGTCCAGCGTGCTTACCAGATGACGCTGGCTCGGACATGCACCTCTCGTTCAAAAGGCGGCAGCAATAACTGCAGTGCACGCACAACTGATGCATCGTGGCAGCTATCTCCTCATGTCAACCGATGGTCTCCTCACTTTCGTGCGATAGCTTGAGGTGTCAACTAGATCTATTGTTGCCAGCGGTAAGGCAATACACTTTGGAGGGGGCAGGAAAAGGGGTGTACCTGAGCCCCGGCGCGGTACAAGCGTCTCGTTCACGGGCGCTTCGATGGTCGCAGCACGCCCCAAAAATCACCGCGTCGGGGTGTCACTGGATCTGTGCTTACTTTGGTAACCGTTACTTCCGTAGCCCCAGCCATCCCCAGGCTGTCAAGCGTTCTCAGAGAACCGTCGAGGCTGGGTTGCCTTTATTTTTGCTCCGCGACGCATGTCAATGACGTGAACAGATGAGAGATAATGAGTATGTACATGCCTGCCTTTGGGGTGAATTCAAAAACCGGCATCAGCCAACAAACACCGGCAGCTCGTGCTCCTCTCACCGAATGGTCACACATATATATATATATATATATATATATATATATATATATATATATATGTGTGTGTGTGTGTGTGTGTGTGTGTGTGTATATGTATGTGTGTGTGTGTTTGTGTGTAGGTATTTGGTTTGCACATGAATAAATGTTGACTGCAAAAAAAAGAAATACACTTGCACAAATTGCTAGAATAACGACATGGTTTGTGGGCATTACGCCATGCGAGAAATGTGCGTCTGCGGCAGAAAAATGGAATTTTTAAAGTGGCCATAATTAAATTGATACCTTCCCACACAAAATTCTGCATATTCGCTTTCTTGCTTCCTTGAGAGTTGTTTGCCCCCGTCTTACCTTACATCGCATTGGTCTTTTGAACTCGCGCAATGGAACAGGCCTGAAGATTACGTGCACTTGTCAGGACAAAAATGCACCGACATCTGGAGATATATCCGCCCATCTCAGATTTTTTGTCATCAAAAGGCTGCAGAACGGTGCGCGCAAGCCTTCCGACGCCCTTAGCACCGTATTCGATGCAAGTTTTGAAGTCATTCAGTAATTCAATTTCAAAGTTGTTTGTGTTCCAGATAACGTCAGGACATTCACCAGACAGGCTCTAGTGAGACAATGCCAGACCAAAACGGGGCTCAAAATAGCATTTTGTCAGACATATGTTTTAAGTTGGTTGCATTTTTTACGGCAAACTTTTTAGAAAACATTTTCCACTTCCACATTCCCACATGGAAATGTGATGTCCTTGTAGCTCATTAAGCTATGTTCAAATATACCTCCGGTGGTTTGAAACATGCTCTTTGGGTCACGCATTCTTGGGTTTCATTAATTGTTGGGCTGCTTGACGTCGCCCCCTTACCTGCGGATAGGAGATTTGGCATGCAAGCTTGCCATGGCCTCTTTCTCAAACATTTTGCCCGATTGGATCACCACGTTTTCCGCTCTCAGTGACACGCGTGCATCAGTCTGACAACCTTTTGGGCCATCCACATTTCGGTCATTACCGTTAAGTCCTTAAACTGTCCCTGGTCTCTGAAAATATTTCAGACCTGGCCATACAGTCCCGTGAACTCATTTGCCGCTTCTGCCAAAAGTAGCTGCATAGCAAGCCAGAATTCACGCCGCTTATT